ATTAAATATAGTCAGAGGTATAATGTCAGATGATTTATACAATTGTGTGCGTATTTCTGTGGGTTTAAAAAGAAATTTCTATTTGTTACGATCCATTTAATACCAGCCTTGGTTGATAGTGAATTTTAGGTTTAATTCATCATTGAAACATTGAAATGTGCAGGCAATAAAGACTCTCTTTTTTTGTTGCAGAAGAGGATACATTATGTATCAATTATATTTTTTGAATATATGTAATTTCTCTTGCAGTCTATCGATTACCCACGCTTATGACACCGAGTCTTTTTCACTCCTAGTGATAAAATTCTTACTGCATAACCTATTCCTTACCCTGATTATATTGTAATCAACTAATAGATTCGCTGCAAAATTTTATTAAACGTCAGTATTTGAAAATACTATATAATATTGATTCAGGAATGTGAGAAGAAAAAAATTATTCCCACAAGAAAGCGACAAATTAAATTTATTATTCAGTTACCAAAGAATGATACGTTAATGAATTTAAATTTATAATTTAATCTATCGTGTTATTATAATCATTAATCAATTAATTTTAATATTTTAAATTATTTATTATTTTATTTGTTTAAATGAAATTAATTATAAATATCATTTATATTTTTAGATAATTAATTAACAATTAATATTAATAATTATAACTTATAATTAGATAATTAGTTAACAATTAATAATCATATTTTTAAGAAAATAATAAAAATTATCAATATTATACTTAACTGCATCTACATATAAATATGTAACTATTTATTATTATTTCATACAATTATACTGAAACAAAATTAAGTGTATCAATTCTAATGTAAACTGAGATATCTGTAGGGCTAAGGATACTCAAATTGATTGAATTTTAAAGAATAAGCCTCAGTTATACATATACAAACTTCACTCGTTTCACGCCTTAATTCTCTTCCTTATTCGTCAGGTTTAGCTCTTAACAAATATGTCGATAATCAATAGTGTTCTATCTTAGTTATAACATGATATTGATATCGCCAGGCGATGGACCAGACATGAAAAGGAAGACCTTGACACTTTGTCAGAATGGATTAAATGTATCAGATGTATGTTAAAATCGCGCATTAAAAGATTGAGAGGCAATATGAAAACCATCTATCCTTCTGTATTCAATAATCCAGAAGTGAAAAAAGAATTAGATAGATTACATGATCAGTACGTACTGGTCCCTGCTGACAAAGCAGGTAACAACACTGTCTTTGTCTGTAAGGCTCATTATATTAAATGTATTTTAGAAGAACTTGGATTTAATTCTACAAGTGGTAATCCAACTTACACTCATAGTTCCCTTTCTAAGGAAGAAATTCTTCAAAATCATATGTCAGTTTTGAATATTTTTAATATTACAAACAACCAAAATGAATTTGAATTACCATATTTATATTGGATTCCGAAACTTCATAAAAATCCTTACAAACAAAGATACATAGCCTGTTCCAGTAAATGTTCAACCAAGCCTCTATCTTTACTCCTCACTAAGATATTAACAGTGGTGAAGGAGAAACTTCAAGAGTACTGTGCAACAATACATTCGAGAAGTGGTGTAAATCAGATGTGGATACTTAAAAATTCCAAGGAACTTTTGGAAAATTTGAAATCACAAGATTTTACCAAAATCAACAGCTTAAAAACTACGACTTTTCAACTTTGTACACAACCATTCCCCACGATAAATTAAAGTCCAGGCTTTTTGATATCATTGACAGCTGCTTTTTCAATAAAAATGGAACTCGTAAATATACTTACCTTGTCATTGGTCATTTGCAAAATTATTTTGTTATACTCTGAAGTTGACATTTAAAAGATGCTTGAGTTTCTGATTGACAATATCTATGTGGTTTTTGGAGACCAGGTCTTCCAACAATCTATTGGAATTCCCATGGGTACCAATTGCGCCCCGTTATTAGCAGACCTTTTTTTGTATTCATATGAAGCATAATTTGTCCAAAATCTTGTACGTGAAAAGAAGAAAACACTTGCTGTGGCCTTCAACTCGACATTTAGATATATCGACGACGTATTGTCAATTAACAATGGCTATTTCCATTCCTATGTTGATACGATATATCCTTGTGAACTTGAGATAAAAGATACCACAGAGACTGACACATCTATTTCATATTTGGATATTTTACTTGAAAAAGACGTTAATGGTAATCTAACAACCAAGCTTTATGATAAACGTGATGACTTTAACTTTTCAATCGTCACCTTCCCTTACTTATGCAGCAATATACCTTCATCACCTGCATACGGGGTATACATCTCTCAGTTGATTCGATACGCAAGAGCATGCTCTACGCATGTACAATTTCTAAAACGAGGTCAATTATTTACAAATAAGTTGATGAAACAAGAATATTAGCTGTCTCGTTTAAAGTCATCATTTCGTAAGTTTATGGTCGATACAATGACCTTGTAAGCAAATACAATTTATCATTGAGTCAAATGCTGACTGACGTTTTTCATACTAATTGTTAGGCCATTATTTACACACTGAATTGTCGACGGATTTTTCCATTATTTCCCGATCATGACAAGGAGCACACGGCGGGTGTGACCGGTCGGCAGGGGATGCTCACTCCTCCATGGCACCTGATCCCACCTCTGATGTTTGGAGGTCCGTGTTTGCTCTGCTCCTATTTTGTATTGATTAATGGACTTTTGAGCTTGAATACTGTTCGTTATCGCCATATATTTCATTGAACTGTTGGAATAAAGGATAAAGATGAAAGAAATTTTATATAAAAAAAAATCTATAGCTCTGTTTTAGTGTTGGTAATATCCTCAACAGAAAAAAAATTATCTTTAATTGCAATTGAAAAAAAAAAAATGAGTGATTTTTCGGGAAAAAAACTATTTCCATAAATGTATCTTCATCAACAAATAATAATAATAATAATAATAATAATAATAATAATGCCTAACCTTATGCTCCTGAATGAATTTATCTATTGAAAATTAGACATCTGAAATTGAGTTATCAATCCTATACCTCGTTAAAAGCGTCTATTTATCGTCCCAGAGAAACAGTTATCTCTCTTTTCTTTCTATTAAACTAGCCTTGCCTTCAAATGTCGTACATAATTTGCGATATTAAAATAAGGTATGGGGAGACAACACGTGGAACACATTAATTACCTCTCGACTATTTTTTTTTTTTTTTAATCCTTCATGAGGAAAAAAAATATGCTGTAAATTGATATTTTCATGTAGATAATATACATGTATACATGTTTTATTTATTCATTTTTTTAATTGAATCTTATTAGAAATCAATCGAATTCACCAGGTGCAGGCTTTCCCGTGGTATCACGGATCATTTAATAAAAACAAGTTGACAACAAAACTGCTCTCCATAATAAGATTAATACAATTACGTGAAATTAGAACTATAAAGCATAGTGTGGTCCTTTGCAACGCAACATAACTAAAGATTCCTCTGTATTTGAAAGAAATAGATATACACTAATAAATGATGTCGATGTCATTTAATGCAGGGTTTTTTTTTTTTCTTTCTTTTTTTTCATTATTATTATTATTATTTTTTTTTTTTTTTTTTTTTTTTTTTTTTTTTTTTTTTTTGCTCATTGCATACATTTCCTTATAATTATAAAAGATGATATTATTCATTAACAGACTTTTATTCACTCATATTTGCAATTACCACATTCTGATAATTTACCAAAAAAGCGGTTATATAGGATTATATTATATATGAATCTATATATGAACTTCTCTCTCTCTCTCTCTCTCTCTCTCTCTCTCTCTCTCTCTCTCTCTCTCTCTCTCTATATATATATATATATATATATATATATATAATCGATTGAATAATATTTATTATTGAAAAAATCATGCAAATTAGTGCGAGTATATTATTGTGTTACCTTTCTAATCTTAATAAGCCCAAAAAAATATTTTCTTGTATAAGCTCTTCATGGCTTAATGCTGAATTATCGGTTGAAAGTATCGTGTAATTAAAAATAATGAATGTAAAAAGTTGGGGCCAGTGATGTAAATTTTGAAATATAGGTCAAAATAAGCGATTTTAAAGCGAAAAACAATTTAAATTTTATTTTGACTTCTAAAATATATCTTCAGTTTTTGACAAAGACTGTTGTGTGAATTTTCAAAATCTGTTTTAGAAATATTAACGGAACCCTACATTTATTATTCCTCGCATATGATGACGCACAAAATTCTCCGAGTAAATATATGTAGGACTAACGTTCAAAGGTTTTAAATCAAACAAATGTGTAGATTCGAAGAATTTTCTTCTACATATCCTTCAACCACCAGAAATAGTTTCCCATAAATCTTGTTTCTTTACAATTTTGTGAGCAGTTTTTAAATTCAATATTGCATAATGGCATTGTTTAATTCAAATATGTAATACAAATTGAAATGTAATTTAAAAAATTGAGGTTAGAGGTTCTGACCAGGCTTTTCTCAAAAGCTGACCAGTGACATACATGTACCTCAAATGGACATTGCTTCATCAGACTATGCATTTGAAAATGACCATACAAAACATTTATTAAATCAAACAAACAAACAAGCAAAAAAAAAAAATTTAAAAAACAAATAAAAAAAAAACCACCCCCCCCTCCAAAAAAAAAAAAAATCAATTTGGATAAACGATCCAGAGATTTTTTTTCTTGACTTTTCGGCGAAATAAACAATGTCGTTTAAAAAAAAAAAATCAGGGTTTTTTTTTTTTTTTTTTTTTTTTTTATGAAGTTGCCTTCGTTTGATAAAAGATCTTTCATTTTTAAATATAGAAAGCATTAGATTTTGAAGATTTATTTATCTGTTTTTGTACGTCTTTTACATGTAAGAGTAAAAAATGTAAGAAGTATTTATGTTTTTTGTGAAGAAACATACATATATTACATACAAAAATATTTAATGTAAATTTCAATACCTCGAAAATTCTTTTGTAGTTTCATAAACCTTTTGTAAATTTATCATTGAGGGCTCATTTAAAAATTTTTAAACATATATTAAATTAAGGAATTCATTCTAATGTGTGAAAGCAATTACTTTATATGTGTGAAACAACGCACAACTTTTGATTTTTTTCTTAAATAAATGAAACTAAAGGTGACGCCCTCTTCTTCCTGTTTAAAATGCTCATTTTCTCAGGCATATTCATTCCTTTCAGAATAACGAAGTACAATTCACAATGTTAATGACTCTATTTTTCCACGGAAATCTGCATGCAATACAAATATACACCGATCTTATTCGAGAAAGTCTATTATTTCACATATTTTAAAAGCTGGTAAATATATATTACAAGCTTACATTAGCTCTTGTTAGTAGAAAAAAAATATCCATCATTTCAACAAATTTGAAAAAAAAAAGAATAATAATAATGACCCAATGTAATATATATTCCACATTCAGTCTAACATAAGACATAATATTTTAGCTCATATTCTTATGTTTAGTTATCAAGGTCTGTATGGAGGAGGATTCCCCCACTTATGATCTTCTGTCGAGTAAGCAAGGTTATTAATCTTCTGTATATTATTCCCTGCCACCTGGATATTGACGGTCGAGCCTGTTTTACTATTCCTATAAAAAAGAAACATAACCCATATTGAATATATGTTATTTTTTAAAACCTTTAAAAAATTGAATTTAGGTTAGTTTGAATAGGGACTTGACAAGAAAACCTGGATGATGAATTATAGTAAGGTTAATGCAAAGAATGAGAATCGGTGCTTTAGAACATAGATTGTGTCCAAAACTTAAGTGATCAAACAAAAAAAAGAATATTTAAATGATAACTGTCTAATAGTTTGTCCACAAAATAAATCATTCCTCTTTTGAAATTATATCAACTATGTAACATGTAATATAAAAAAGACGAAAAAAATGATTTCAAGGCAAAATCTGGAAAAAAAAAAAGATAACGAACCCTTTAACGTATCTCTTTTTCACAATTATCAGCATCACAACAAGTATAAGAATCAACACACCAAGTATCACGCCGAGAATAATTTCCAGATTTCCATGCTGATGAGCCCCATCGTCTGAAAATACAAATAATTGGAAAGAACTTGTATGGCTATAAAAGAAAAGCAAATATACATTCAAATATCAAAGTTTGTTTTACCATCCGAATCTGATTTTCTCTTATCATCTTCATCATCCTCACATAGTTGATCACCTAAAATTACACCATTGTAGACAATAAAAATTGCGGTTGAGGAATGATTATAATTATTTAAACATATAGTCTATGATGGGAGTGAGATTACAACACAAAAATCAATCTAAGTTTTGCATACCGAAGCAATACCGCGAAGGGCAAGTATCAACTCCCTTTAGGCAGTACGCAGTGTATTTGCCACAGTTCTTTACTTTGATGTCATAGGACTTAGAACAACAACTGTGGAAACCTCTTTGGCATGCCTTTCTTGTAACAACACCATCGCCCGTACTGGGGACACTTCCTGTTTACAATGTAAAGTTTTATTCTTCATCAGAAATCCCTCGACGATTCAAACAAACAATTAAGCTATTTAATACAAATACTTGTTTGTGTAAGGGAGATGCATTCCTATTATACAACTAAAAAAATCCGAATATTTAAATTATGCCCACCATTCATCCATACAGGGTATATTGATCCACAACTTAAAAGTTTTGGACACTGATTTAGCATAGGAAACCTGGCTTTATACCATCCTGTTGTAAGATGATTATCGCAGTTACTCTGTCCTTGCTTGTATTCACAATGCATAGAGCGAAATTCAGTCTGTGTCAATGTTTGGAGGTTGCTTTCTATGCAAGGATCTATAAAGCAAAACTTTCATATATCATTTCTGTTTTATTTTGAACATGTATTTGGAAACAGAATTTTACAAACATATAATGAAATTTTAAAGAGATTAAGAAAATTAGTTTAGATTTATATTGTGAACGTACCCTCAGAGCATGTCGTTGTTGGGCTGAGTGTTGTTGGTTTTGGTGTTGTTGTGGTCGACATTGTGTTCGTATTTGGGTATTCACATAAACCCTGTTTGCCTGTTCATAAAAACACTTTAAGTTTCTTTCAATCCAAACTAACTTAAACATTATACTGATTTATAGAATATTTACAGACTGTAATCATTATATATATTGCATATTGATATATATTTTTCAATTTGTTCATGAGATTGATTTTTCTTAAGTTAAGTAAAACTCCAGAATCTCACTGATAATAGGCCTTTTAAAATCTCACCAAAACAATACCGTTCGGAACAGGAATCAAGAGCCCCCAGGCAATAAACATGAAATGATCCGCAATGCTTGATCTTCACATCATATTCCTTTGAACAACAAGATGAAAATCCGACCTTGCATGCTTTTCTTTCAACAATACCTTCACTAGCAGTCGGCAAGGACCCTGAAAGTAAGAGGGAATGCATTAAACTGTATAAATTTGCAATTTACTTCAAAACAATGCAATTATTGCATGTAGATACTATGTTAGGGTTTCTGAGCAAGGTAAGTAAGCTGATATGAGATTTAAACTTATAGTTAATATAATCTGCACTTTATGTCATTAAGTCACATCAGATATAATCAAATGATTATGTAAAGAGTGATTAATTGATAACCCACCTTTTAGCCAAAGAGGGTAAACAGCACCACAACTTAGAAGCTCCGGACATTGCGTCAGCATTGCGTCATTTACTCTGTACCACTGAGGAGTTATGTAACGGTCACATGGTGCGTATTTTGAATCATACTGACAATTTTCAAATCTTGCATAAGGTTCAAAGAATGAAGATGCATTTGCTTGCGCACATGGATCTAAAGTAAACCGACCAAAAATAAAAAGAAATTGTACTTATTTAGCGAGTTTTAAGATTCATTTTGATACAGTTTTTGTAGCGTAATATGTTTTATAATCTTACCTGCAACATTGCAATAATATACAGCACCTGAAATATTTCAAAATATTGATAAAATATATCAATTCATCAGTCGGACAAAAACCAATTAATTTATTTTGATATAATATATTTAATCATAGGACTACCTCCAGTATTAAAGCCCAGACACAGGAATAAAAGACGCAGAGTTCCCAAAATAGAGTCCATTTCAGGAAAAGCGGGTTGTGAAGTATCTAAATAACAAAAAAGTGTTTGACTTCTTTTCTGATTTTTCATTCGAAAAGGAGAGGTATTCTCTTTATGTCTATTATGTTATGCTTATTTTTTTTAATTGATATTGTTTGATATATTTGTTTTCCAACTTATCACAATTAACTCGAACAAAAAATAATAATGAAAATTCAACATTGTATAAAAAGAAACAAAGCAGAAAATTTGATAAACGAAATTCAAAATTGTGTAAGGGTCAAAAAAGACAAAAATTGATGGTATTAATATTCAGACTGAGAGATGAATATATTATTTGCCGTTTACCTTGCTTTACCCTTGATTACAGTATCTTCAATCCCCCTGCGGCACTTGTTTATTCACTGAGTCTAGAATTCCTTTTGTCAGGTCAAAAGTAGGAAGTTAAACTATTGCAAATATCACGTGAGTTAAAAGAACTGTATGAATATTTAAATATTTATGTTTGATCTACTTTAACGTGGTTAGTCAATATGTAATTATGGACCTTTAAAAACACAACCGGGATTCCCCTCGGCTGGAAATCCACGTATCACAGCGAACCTCTTTTGTATTAAATCTTTTGAGTTGTTGCCAAGTTTCTTCAATATCTGCACCTCAAGGTTTTGAATTATTATAATATTTGCATTTTATTTTAAATACTTAAGAAATGCTACTAACTGTCATCGAAAGACATACAGAGGCTTTGATTATGGGCATGTTTAATTTATTTATTTATGTTTTTTTTTCATTTTAGAACTGCAATTTTACAACTGTTTTCCAATTTGAAATCTTTTTATTTGCATATCAATCCTCTGTTAGCATATAAGTAAAAGTGATGTCACTTAAACTCTTCATTCCAGTAAGAATGATAAAGCTTTTTGTAATTTTTTTTTTTCAGTAAGTGAATTAGAATTGAATTTCAGAAATTTTTTTAAGGAATGTATCAGAATTTACCATGTTTGTAACAAGATGTAGCAAAGAAGCTTAGCTCCATTAAGACGTAGTTTCACTTCTTGGTAATAAAAAAAGACCTTTAAATTGTTGTTTTCTGCTTCCCTGAAATCAAACAAATTTCCTCGAAAATAATACGAGTTCCTACCGGATATGTTAATTGTAGAATGTCATAGTTAATTTAAAACACAGATACACATAAATCAAGTCTAGTATTTACAAAATAATAAAACTGAAGAGGATTAACACTTTATGAAAATTGATTCATTTTGAGACTCTATTGAAATTTGATATTATAAAATGAAAATTTGATTATTTTTCTACTTCCATTGTTTGTACGCAATACTTTATTCATCAGCCATGCGATATTTACTTTTAGCAGCAAAACAGCTAAAAAAAAAAGCGATCTATCTTCTGATACGCACAGATAAATACTTTGATGTCATACTTTTCACATACTTTTCACATACTTCTTGGGCTAATTTTGTCCAATTGTGCTCATTCTTTTTAAATGAGTCATTTTCCACGATCATGACAAGGAGCACACGGTTGGTGTGACCGGTTGGCAAAGAATGCTTACTCCTCCATGGTATCTGATCCCACCTCTGATATTTTAGAGGTGCGCATTTACTATACTCTAAATTTTGTATTGTTTAATGGACTTTTGAACTTAAATACTGTTCGTTATCTACATTTATTATACCTCTGTGAATTTTTGCTACATAAAAATATGACAATTAAACCTTTTATTTTTTCTAAACAGTCCCTACTGTGGAATAGTTTTTGTGCTATTTGTCCATGGTGAAATAGTCATTAAACTATTCACCGGCAGCAGTCCATTTCCCTCATTTTTCATCTCAAAACTATCTGGTTTGTGGTATTGTGACGTATCCGACAAAAGTCGGTTTCGGTATAATAAAACACCTATTTACTGACTATTCGGACAATAGCAAGTTTACCGTCCCCCTCGACAGCAAACTATTTCCCTCGGCTGCGTCTCGGGAAATAGTTGCTGTCTTGGGGGACGATAAACTTGCTATTGTCCTCATAACCAGTAAATAGGTGCATAATATTTCATTGTACAATAACAGATATTTTGATTTGTATCATCTATGCCAATTTAACATCGACATCGTGTATGTTTGATTAGTGTCAGCAAAAATATGTACTAATATATCTCATTTTTCATCTACATATAAAATTTTAAGATCTATTTCTGGCTTCTTAAAATAGCCAGCAATAATTTTAAAAATAATAGAAAAAAACCAACATTACATAGATTTAAATATATTTATTAGGGTGGAGAGATAAATAAAAACTGTTCGTGTATTTATCTATTTAGGTTTGTAATCGATAGTCCATAAATTAAAGTTATGAGCACTGGAGCTTGATACACATTGAGTAATAATTTTCACCAAGTAGGCAATTAGAAGTTGGTAAATCCAGAGCCGTAAAGGGTTTGAAAATACAGACAGACTGCTATATCTCAGAATCAATGGTAATTCCACTGGTATTCCTTTCCAAAAATCGAACACATAAGAGGATTTCCAATCTAACCTGAAAGTGCCGCCTTTTGCAAAAAAAAAAAAAAATAAATAAATAAAATAAATAAATAAATAAATAAAAAAATGATACAATCAATCTTTCTACATCTGAAAATCTACATTCATCGAATATAAATTATAATCATTTATTTTCTATTGTTAAGCAAGCTTTATATCAGGAAAACATTTTTTCATATGTACAAGTGTTTCAGACAAAGAGATTTATCGAAACCAAATGTTAAAAAAGAAAATAACATGTAAGGAACAAGTACTGATATCGCAGGCATATTAAAAAGAAGATTGCTTTATAATACTGTTCCTCACAGATAGACGTAATATTATCTGCTATACCCAAATGAGCAATCCATATTTATTAATTGTAACGTATTCGATTGATAAATAATTGACTATTGTTTTCATTTTAACGTTGTAATTAGGTTGGACAAAAGTCTAAAAAAAAGTAACACCTAATCAATCTTCCAGGAAGAGATCGATTGGCTGATACGCCTATTTTTCTACGTCACTGATCATGTTGACTTTTTCAACCTGATTTTCTTTAAAGGGAAGGGATCAGTTTTAAAAAGTATTTTAACCAGTCCTAACAAAAGAAGAATGTAATACCTTCAATATATTTTCTGTATTGTATCAATGATATTGAGGAAAAGTTGACTTAAAGACAAGCTTTGAGATATCTGCTTATCGGGGTATTTTTATTATTAACACTTGGCAGAAAATTGTTCGTGAAAATTAAATATTGTTTCATGGCTTCTACTAAAGCCAACGTGAGTTACCTGATATTAATATCTGGATTCATATTTTGGGGTGAGTTATTCATTTAATATAGACTGAATTTATTGAAGCTTCACTAGGATATTTTAAACAAAGAACTAGTAATTTGCTTTCTTTGACATGATATCTAACATTTCCTATATTGTAACTTGACCAATACCAGTGATAAATGAATTTCGTTCTAAAAGAAAGTTATTATTATTCATTTTAAAGATCTTTTGTTTGGAAATTTTTATGAAAGTCCTACAATAACCTTGTAAGCAAATACAATTTACCATTAAGTCGAACGCTTACTGACGTTTTTCATTGTAATTGTTTGGCCACTATTTAAATACGTAATTGTCTACAGATTTTCCCGTTTGCTCGATCATGAAAAGGAGCACACGGCAGGTGGGATCTGTTGACACAGGATGCTTATTCCTCAATGACACCTGATCCCATCTCCGATGTTTTTTTAGAGATCCGTGTTTGTTCCGTTCCCGATTTGTATTGTTTCAATAGACTAGTGTATCTGTCCTTGCCTGCATAACAGTATCCTAAAAACTGAAAAATATAAATTTCTCTTTGCAGCACTTCTCTTTTCTTTATATACCTTATGATGTTCTATATTTTTTATTCTTCGCTTTTTTTCAGTTTCTGGAGATCCATGCCTAACTACAAATCATCAAGAACTCGGCAACCTCTTGAAGAGAAGTCCAAATTTTCCCATGGATTCCGCGCCACTTTGCGACTACTATCTAACAGAGGGGTGGTACAGTGCCCCTTCCTATTTGATGCCGTCATCACCACCTGGACTTACGGCTTGTGGTACTCTTTATCCGTACTGGATGAAAGGTACGATTAACAGATGTCTGCTCTTATTCCATGGAGAACAATTTTTCTCTGTATACATACGGACATCTAAAAACGTACATGTTGTTCTTGATGGTAGTGATAGATACAATAGTTTTTGTTTTGTTTCATAACTCATTATGTTGTCCGGCATCCCCCCCCCTCAATGGACGGGGACTTTTACTTTTGTATAATGACGTTATTTTGTACCTTAACTATCTGAATTTCTTGAAGCCAAATGAAATTGTTGAGTCACGTTTTGTCCGCCATCACATTATGTCCGCAATATCAAAGGTGTCTTCAAAATAAAATTTGTATATAATGCTGTGAATGTTCCTAATCGAAGTTGCTTTCTTTGTCGGATTACTTATCACAAGGTCTTCTGTGGGTTCGAAGACATTCTTCTGACACTGCTCCTTATCCTACTGATATTATTTATTGTAAATATTTGCAATATTTACCATCAGCATTGTAAGGTATGCTTGCATATCTGCATCAGGTCAACTTATCGAAATTTATAATAATAGTCCCATTTCTAAATTGTGTTTTAAGGATTACTGCCTAGTACTGTTGGGAATGAGACAGATGTCGAAATTTGTGGTGTAGGATTCTCATCAACTTGCCAAAAGAGTTTTAACATCAGAGTGAAGAAGTGTAACAATTTTTTTGTTTACAAACTTAAGTCTTTGGATTCATGCAATTCGGCGTACTGCTTCGGTAAGAAAACAGAAATTGAGTCTCTCTCTCTTTCTCTCTCTCTCTCTCTTTAGTCATTGAAAAATAAGTCATATATTGTTCTCGATTTTTTTTTCTTTTACAGAAAAAACAGACAATTGTAAGTAATAAATATCGAACTTGCAAAACTTAAATCCCTTTTTATCAAACCATCATTTACATGCATTCAGTTTTTGAGTTTCCAATGCACAGGTGTAGCGGAAACCCCTTCTAACCTTCAAGTTGTATACCAAGGGGTTTCTTACACGAATGTCACAAACTCGGACGGCACACAATGGGATCCAACTATAGAGCTTCGCTGTCAATTCACTCCCCTTTTGGATAACACTCTGTACTATCACATCGATTGGTACGTGGATAATACAAGGATTATAGAGAATCAAACCGTAGATACCTCAACTCTTGGCAATGCTATACTTACAACAGAGGATCTGCACAATGCGGGGAGGAAGATCGGATGCATGGTATGAAATTAACTGCAATATTTCTTTGTGTTGTAATTTAACGTACATACATCCATTTAGGTTAATAAATTCTACATTTGAATCAAAATGTGCAGATTCATTGTGTAGTCGGTGCCAAACGAACACTCGTGGACTCACCCTGTAACAGTACATCCAGTGCCCTGTTTTTCGCAGGAATTCAGGTAAACAATGAAAATTTCATACAATAGAAAAGTAAATCTTTGCATTTCTCTGCTCAAATTACGTTTAAAACTTTTAATTGTCTGCTAATTTCCTAAGCTCAAGACACTTAAAATTTTGTAGGTATTAACACCAGTTCTAAATATGTCAAGAAAGGGAGAAACGACGCTTAGAATTCGACCCACAATACCTTATGCGACACACACGTTAGAATTGCCAACATACAATTTAGAAGATACTGGAGAATTGTCAATTTCTCTTGATTTCCCAGAAAACATTATTTCAGATTGTACAATTGCCGGCAGTTCGAGAACCTGTGAAATAAAAATTCCCAGTTTCAAATATAGTGAAAGACACAAATACAACGATCGTAGTCAGTGGTATAAAGAGTATACGATGACTATACAAAATAAAGACAGTCTGGGCTATGAAATTGATAATAGTGTGCTACTTCGGCTAAAAACCATAGGCGGCGGCGAAAAGGCAGCAAAAGTATTTGAAGGCGTTTTGCTCCCCGACGTCCCAGTTAGTAATTATGTTTTCAATGCATCTTCCTTATAGTACGTTTATAAATATTTTGATAGTTTTTATTAAATCTCTTGTGCAATTTTTTTTTTTCACTTCTTTTTTATTCTTACAGATTTCTAGTTATTTTGCTATCTACAATGCAAATGGCGAATGTCATAGCAATCTGTATGGTATGTCATCTTTTGAAATGTGTATTATTTTTATCATGTTATTTTAGATAAATATCATTGACGACCATACAGAGTGGAAGGGAAAGTATTGTTATTCACATGCTGACCCTCACATGAGAACATTTGATAAATAGTAAGTGATTGTAAATTAGCGAAAAGTACATGTATATGATAAATGTGCAAAACTTCATTATATTTTGAAACTTTTAAATATGTGTTTATCACAGTAACAAAACAAGAATTCAAAATCAGACCAAAGGAATATAGCTAACAAAGCAAAATGCTTAAAGTCTCCTCACTAAATTAGAACAGGATATATCAAAAGAGTATATGGAAGTCGACAGGGACATTTCTTCACTAAATTGTATATAAGTAAACATAAATATATTGATGTAGCATATGAGATTTATTTCATTAGAAATAGATAATGTGGCAGTGCCAACAAAAGAGAAAATTTTACACAAACTCATTTGTTGTTTCATCGACGTTAGCCTCTTTCCTTTATATTGATGTTGGTTTAATTCATAATTGATTTATTTTAAAACTAAAAAAAAAAAAAGATTTGTTGAGCTAATAATTTCATTGTCTGCATAATAATAATTACTATTTCAAGAAAAGACGCAGATCTTAGTCAGAATTCCCCTTTCCTTGGGGTTCTATCTATTTTCCGTAAAAGAAATAAAAAAAAAAACATTTTTTTTTTCATTTCATTTTCTTAACAAGTTGACGGTATATTTTGATTTAATCTGGATCACCTCAGCGTTTATATCAGCAAAAATATAGACAAAATACACTGAAACCATTCAACATTGATGATGATGATGATAGTGTATTACCTTGAGATATAACAACATGTATAAGCGAAATTGTAACATTGTTATTATTACATTTTATTGTCTTAACTCTAGATGAATAATCAATTTATAAATCTTTTTCTAGTAAATATGAATGCCAGGACGAAGGATGCAAGACAGGGATCACGAGTGTTTTATATCAAAACAAAGAACATGATCAGGAGGTAAAAAAAAAATAAAGTTTTGGGGAACATTTACTTGAGAGAGTCATCGATTTTTTCGTTATAGGAATGCCCTGCATTTTTTTTATTGACATTATTGTTTTGTTTTCTTTTTAGGTGCACGTCAGACATCACAAGTGTTTCTGGCCTAATGCGCGCTGCATTTGTGCCTTGGCTGCAAGATCTGGGAGAGACGTTTTCATCTTCGACGCTTGCAACGGGAGACGTTATATCAACTTTCCAATCTGTGATGACAAATCACTGAAGGTTGTCAAGGTTACCGATATGTCTTATAAAGTAAGCATATAAGATAAATATATTAGATTGTGTTGAAATTTACATAGCTCTTTGATGACAGGACGTCCCCCACTTCTTAAAGAAGTACACCCGAGTACAATACTTTACTATAAATTGTTCTTCTAGCATTTACTTTCAATAATTATATATTCATTGTAAGAAGGAAAGAATCGTCTAGTTAAGCAGTTTTGCCCCCGCCTTCTCCAGATATTTTTAATCGGAGAGGAAGTACGTCCAGTAAAAAGGGTGCATACTAAAGAAATCCAAAGAGAGAAGTGGGTTCTGATAAGTAATTTTATCTACAGATATTTTTTCCAACTGGAACGTATGTTACAACTACCTTATACATGTATAGTGACTGGTTTTTACAAACGCAAGTCTACCCGTCTGTAGCGGACGTTGGAAAAAGTTCAGGTCTCTGTGGGGTTTTAGGAGGTGGTATGCAGAACGACCTGACAAGAAGAGACGGAACTTTAGACGACCCAAACAGTTTTAGCTATCATAATCCACCAAATGACTTTTCCATTTCATGGAGGTAATTTAAAAGTCTTTTTTTTTTCATTAATTTTTAAAGTTTATTGTGCCTTACTATATTTTTTTTTATTAAGAACATTTAATGAGTAGATAAATTTTAGAGTATCAGCTGGTGACGACCTTTTCTCTGCTTCGATGGATTTTCAAAGTCTGAATTCTCTTTCGCTTACTAAAACACAACTTTGTACGTGTAACCAAACTAAGACGGAGTGCAGTTACCAAAGCTACACAGATTGTGGAACGACTACCCGTGGAAAAGAATACCAGTGTCTGCTTCACAGTAGAAATAGTAGGCGAAAGAGGCATGCAAAATACATGGCATCGTTTAATCCCGACCCTGTGGAAAACAAAATACTTTTGGTATTTTAGTTTAATTTACAATTTGTCATTAAAATGGTTTTTCACATTACACGAAAACACAAAAGTTATTTTTTTTTTTATTGAAGTCAGCAAAACTTCTGATCTTTCTTTGACAATAGATACATGTACCTCCTTGGTAACGTAATAGATTTTACTATTTAAATGATTGTAGAGGATAAAAAGGCAGGCTGCATACACGGACGAAGAAGTTACTGCAATTTGTAACGCAGAATTCAATCGATCCATCCCTTTTCAAACATGTATAGAACATGTAGCTGACTTCTCAAATGATTCTATTCAAAACTGTATTGCAGATGTTTCTGTGAGTATTCTTTGTGGTTGTTCCTTTACATCCTGCATATTTACTTTTTTATGCAATATTATATGCATAACCATATTTATGATATTCATAAAGAACCTACATTCATTTAACAGTATATAAGGGTATAGTTTAATTTCTTTTAGCTTACTGGAAATCCAAATTTGACGTCGTTCCATCTCCAAAGCGCCATTACTGAATGTCAAACGTTCATAAACCTAAATAACACTCTTCAAAAAGAAAAACCTGCTATAACATATGGAATACTCAGCGTTTGTCCTAATAACTGCAGTAATCACGGTCAATGCTCAAACGGTAAACAGTAGTTAAAATATTTTAAGAATTCTAAAGTCAATTACAAATTTAATTAATATGACAATGCTGATGCTGCTGCTGCTGATGATGATGATAAAATAATCATTTAACAGCTTCAAGAAAACAAGGAAATAATAACATAATAAATTGAAAAGTCAACGATGATAATGAAATTTAAGTTTTTGGTGGATTGACACAATGTTTAAATAAAAGCTGGGAAAACTAAAAATAACAAAAAAATCAAGAAGAATATACATATTTTTCACCTTTAAACATACGTTATGCACTGAACTTGAAATCTTAACTCACAGTTTCATGTTGTGCAAATAATACAAACATTGCGTTTGATAACCATTTACATGTATCTCGTAGTGATGATTTAAAATTATGTTTATAATCTTTCTTTATGACAACCACAGGAAGTTGTACCTGCAGAGCTGGCTTTGGCGGAAGTGACTGTTCGTTTGATATAACTTCTCCCCCTACAGTAACCACTTTACTTGGAAATGGTCTATGTGACCTATCAGAGGATACCTGTGATGACGTCACAATGTTCGGTCAATTTTTTGTTGAGAACATGAATACAACTTGCTTCATGACTAGAAGTGAGGTAAAGATTTTTTTTAAATCTGAAATTGTGTTCTATATTTATTTTTATAAAACTTAAGAGATATTAAGTGTTTCAGTACCATATTTCTTTCTTTTAGATTTCAGTCACAAATAATGTAATTACACAGAAAGTTTATGAAACACGGCTTGAAGAAAGGACTCTTTATGAAGGATTTTGTAGTCTGATTTATGAAACGAACGATACTTGGGTGACACAATTTGTGTTCAATATGTCTAATGACAAAATAACATTCACAAATACCTTCAACGTGTTCGTATATCAGTCGGAGTGTCAATTTGTCAACAACGATACAAATAAAATGTACTTCACGTTACAGGTAAGTACCTTGAATATAATGAGGTATCATTTTTTTTATAAATCTCCGTTCACTTCTCATGTATGTATAGACGTCAATGAGTCTTAGGCTAAAAGAAACACGCCACTAGACGTCACCATGTGACATCTATAAATAGAAAAAAAATGCCTTAATGAAAGAATGAAAAAGTTTAAAACTACCATGGGGATAATTTATTTCTGTTTATAAAAAAGAATTATGTAAAAACATCTCTGGGCCATGAAAGGTGCTGCAAGAATCCTTACTCTCCTATCACAGGAGTAATTATTCCACACTTTTGCACGAAACCTTTTCAAACGTTTTACGTTTTATACAAATGATCGAAGATTTTTCATCAAATTAACGCAATTCTAGCAGCACTCTGCAAGTACGATAGACGACAAACTTTCCATATGGACAAAAATGATGTTTCAAAGAATAAGGCGTTGTGTTGAACCTTTGTATCTTTATTTTTAAGAACGGCAGAGGAAGGCTGATCGGGATTTCAAAACAATGCTTGTCCTCAATTAAAAGAAAATAATGATCAAAATAAATCAGTGTACCTGATTCTTTCTTGATTCTTAAAATTTTATTATTTTATGAATCACACAGGATATTCACGGCATATGGTTTTAATATTTCGTTTACATTAATTCGTGTTTAATTTCTTTTTTTATTTTCACTCAGCAAGTCAACAGTTATGGGTTTGATATTTAACCTACAAATTTCTCGTTATTTATTCCAAAAGTGACAAAATTTAGTTTATATTATGTTTTACATACTTTCATTCATTCCTAGCACTTGAAATTAATCTTTAAATATAAATATTAAAAAATCCCAATCTCTTATTTCACGTCATATATAGCTTACGCCTTTTAATGAAGGAAAGTAATAAAATCTGTACGTAGCCTCAGCATACCTGCGTTGTCTTTACTCATTTTTTTCTTTTCTTGTAGAATGGTTTTTGTTTCATCGATGGTAAATGCATTCGGGAATATACAATTAAATCAAATGATTCTTGTTCAAAATGTGACCCAAGCGTGCACCAGTTCAATTGGACAAACGGTAAGTAATTTAGTTCATATTAAAAAAAAAAGATTCATTTTAAGGTCTTATTATTATACACAGAATCGGAACCTGCTATTACCTATTTTCCTTATTTTTTCATATAAAGGTAATGACCCGTTTTTACACTTTCTTAGATTGTAACAATGTTACATTTAATTCATCGACTTACTTTTCATCATCGACGACAACAATCTCCCAAAAGGTATCCCAAAGTACGTTACAGTTGTATAGCACAACCAAACAAAGCATAACGTCTTTTACATCTACAATCCAAGTTCCAACGGCGACAGCGTGGTCTACAACGTCTAAAGGATTGACGTCATCTACAGCAGAGCAAATAACCGCCACATCATCACCGGTACCTCTGGCATCGACAACATACTCCTCAACTACGTTGCAAATGTCCAGCACAACCGCATCTAGCAAAGCACCTTTTACATCCACCACTCCTGTAATATCAAAACAAGTATCGTCTACGTCGTCCAGTTCCACAACGTCTGCAAGATTGACGTCATCTAAAGCAGAGTAAATAAACACCACATCATCACCGGCACCTCTGGCATCGACAACAATCTCAACAACGCTACAGTTGTCCAGCACAAACGAATCAAGCAAAGCGACTTTTACCACCACCTCTCCTGATCAGACAAAAGTAGTATCGTCTACGCCATCGATCTCCACATCGTCTACAAGGACGGAGTCAACTACAACAGGGCAAATGACCATTACATCATCACCGGTACCATCGACATCAACAAAGGCAACAGAACGCAAGAAAACAAATACAGATGACATATTATCTACAGGGACCATTGGACTCATTACTGCTGTGGTTATTGTTTCTTTAACGATAATGATCGTTACTCTATATATGATCAAGTCAAAGCTCAATAACAGGTACTTAACATTATGAAAGTAAATTATATTGATTATCATACCACATTGATCATAATTTTTTTCTAATTCTTTTTTTTTTCTTCGTTATTTATTATCTATAATGTTTGAATAATTATTTTTATACTGATTTATTCATTAAATGGTCCCTTTCTACACATACTTTTCGAATAAAACAACACGATTTCCATTTAAAATATAGTTCAAACGAAGGCTTTGCTTTCTTGAATAAAGACATTTTTTTCAGAAATGATCAAAGTTCCTCCCTAACTGCTCAGCAGGCACCCGATGAAGTCAACATTTATCCTGAGAATAAGAACATTAATCCTAAGGATGCCTTCCAAGGCCAAAACCTGCTGAAATTTGAATCCCCAGCTGCGATGTATTCTAGACCTCCATCTGCACATTCAATGAGACGTGGCCCGCCAACCATTGACCTCAGTAAAATATATGGACCTGGAAAATTAGACCAACTCTTTGGAGTTCAAAATTGATTTTCTAATATTATTTTGAACATAATAATTATTGTGTGTGACAAATCTATATTCTGTTATTTAAATCGGCATCATCTAATATATATCGAATTTATATAATCTAGCTCATATACATATACAATTATACAATATTATATCTTTCATGTTATAATTATTTTTAAGCTATCAAGTGTTTGGTTTAATCTACTAAAATTTTATTGTATTTCCCTTTCTGCAATGTGTGTGTGTGTGTGTGTGTGTGTGTGTGTGTGTGAAACCAGCCAGTTATAATGCTAATGTGCTAGTCTAATTGTCTTCAATGCTTTTGCTTTTAAAATAAATTTTACATTTGTACGCATACACGCATATGGTTTCCATATCATATTTATTTGTGTTTAAAAGCACCAGATGGAATAATATCATGTTAAAATCTTACTGCGAATTCCCATGAGGCCTTCTTCTACATGTATTACCTAAAAAAACAGCAACGCTGACGGGACACTTTATAAACTGTCTGTCTGTCGGTTGGTCGGGTTGTTTCTCTTTTATAATTAGACCGTGTCCCTTTCCAAACATGAGCGATATAGCGTTCATAGTAAGCAGTTAGAAGTTAGAAGGATAAATGGAA